TACAAAAAATAAATGGGAGGGGCTGCTGCTTCTGAGGTCTGAGTGAGTCTACAAAAGTGTCACAGCATAAAAGTACAATCTATCCCCGGCACGCCTCCGTTTTCCCTCCATCTCCCCAAACTCTGGGCGGCCGCCACCACGGTGTCCACTCTGAAAAGTGTGAGAATAATGTGGAAGCGTTGGCAAAGAACTCCCAAACAGACAAAATAAAAAAAGTATCCACAACACACACACACACCGAGTGAGCATTCAACCATTGCAGTGTCATTCACACTGAGAATTAATTTGGTATCAAGTAGCTTACTATTTTACTCTATATTCTTGGTAGACTTTAGAAAGAGGTAGAGTTTAGATAGAGTTTAGGCTTTTTAATTTTTTTGAAAAATATATTTTTAATATTCTTTAGCTATATTTCTTTACATTTCTCTATATTTCTTTTTAGCTAATATTCTTTAAGCTACTAATTTGTATTTATTATTAGACTTTTAAAAAATATATTGAAAAAAAGAATAAATATTAAAAAATTTCCATTTTCTTTCACATATGTATATTTTTAAATAAATATTTAAATATGTACTTTTAGCAGGATTCTAATATTGATTATTACACTCCCATACACTCTGTATGTTTTTCTCTCTATGAAAACATGCTTAAAAAAAAATCCCCAAAACTACATATATTCAGATAGAGTATTCAAACATCACCTTCCATTAGATTCAAACTTCCTTTGAGTTCAATTTTTTTTTTCGAGGCAATAGGAAAGAGGACAACTTTTCGTGCAGAGTTTTTAGCAAACTCATTTATGTAGTTTTCGCTTCATGTTTACTTAAAGTTCAACTCGAGTGTTGTTTTTACAAATTGTTATCCACTGTGTGTGAGTTCTAAGTATGATCATGGGTGTTTGGGAGTGTGTGTGTGTGTGGCTTTGGAGGCGTGGCACTCAGACGAAAATAGAAGCAGACAGTTTGGGAGTCATTGCCGCAGTCAGTCTGAACTCTGTTTCAGTTTTGGGATTTGGCGTTGACCTTAGCTTTTCATTTCTTTTTTCCATTTTCCGGTTAGATTGGCGTGGATGTGGGTCCTAGCCACTTTCCGTTTAGATTAGCAAACATTTCTAATTAATGTTGAAAGGACGTGTAATTTGCTTGGTTAGTGCGGGCTTATAGTGTCTGAAATGACTGTTGGCAGGGAATAGAGGATTCTCAGGATTCTATCACTATAATTTATAGTTCATTAGAGCGGCAAGAGCCATAAACATTAATCCGACAGCCTCTCATCATTCTTTGATGACTTTTATCGCAAGATTTTCCAACAACTAGAACTCGCGTTAACGCTGACGTAATCCAGTCAAGAAACCCATCAAAAAAATATTAACGCTAAACTTGATCCATTCCCTGGCGCAGTAAAACCCAAAAAAACATTGCTGGTGTCAACAGTTTAGCACAAACATCGTCTTATATCACCCGACCCCCAAGGAGGACCCTCATCAATTTTATTTATAGATTTATTTATTCGTTATTTTCCTTCATTATTGATTCTTATGGGCTTCGCAGCCCGGTCAGGCCAGGCCAGTTGATTAATTCAATTAATCAAATACACATTAGTGGCACGAACCATCCCGGATCGAATCAACCCCACTCTCGGCCAATAATTATGGCCAAAGTCTCCAACCAAAAAGGAGAAACATAAACGAAGCAATTTCGTCCAATGAACTTGCAATGAACGCAAAAAATCAAATCAAATCGATGCCATCTAATTATTATGCTAATTACCATTAAACCTAATACGAGACTTGTTGCACATTCTAGACGCCTTTCAGACCCTGGCGTGGCTTGACTTAGAAAGCCGTCAATAAAAGCCATTGGCCATTGACCCAAAAAGCCAAAGAAGCCAAGCGAGGAGAAGGAAATCCATTCAGACAGGAGAAAAACCAGATCTTCCATGGAAAATCTTCTTACTTCTTACTGACATTCTGCAGCTTGCAGCAGCATCGGCATAAGAAAACTAGCCGAGGAAAAAGCTGCAGACAGACACATGGAGATAATGTCTTTGCATGTTTTCTGCCATTTGAAATCTCGGCAGACCAAAAAAAAAGTAGGAAACCCGAACCAGGAAGCCACACAGCTAGAAGGCCCAGATGTGGCGACAGACACGATAGAGGAGGGATTTGTGGGGCAAGGAGCTTCCAACTAGTTGAGAGTCAAGACTCTGGCCAAGAAGATGTGCTGTTCTAGGCCAGTTTACATAAGAAAAATGTTGTTAAATTAATGCCATCAAACGAAACGATTTCCATTGAAACCCATTTGTAAGTGAGTCCGAAGTTTGTTTAAATTTATTGGCATCGATTGTAATTATTCAAATGGCTGGCTGTGTGGCCAAAACTTTTTCTGTTCTATTTTTCTTTTCCAGAGTTAGAGTTCGAGTTCTGCACTCATTCCGATTTTCTCGCTTTTGCATTTTCCACTTTTTGTGGTTCTTATTACACTGCCAGGCTAGAGGCAAGTATCAAGTGCAGTATCAAGTTTTTCCGGTTCGCTTGAAAACACTATGCAAATTGAGATGAGATGGCGGCAATTTTTCGGGTGTAATGACTACAGTTAAGCAAGCACTTTACAGTTCTAAATGCACTGCAGTAGTGACCAATTAAAGTGGTCGATGTTGCAGTTGCAGACTTTCCACAAATAATTGAGCCATGATAACTCGATGAATACAAAGAATGGATAGTTTACAACTGCTACCGGATATGGAACAAAAGCCACAAGTGGCACATCAAAGGGCGAGGGGTATTAACACCCGAAACGTGACATCATCACTTTATGATTCCCAAGAATGGTCAACGCACGGGAGCCTACTACAAATTGCAATTAAATGGGAATGCCAAAGGTAAGCGGAAAAGGGAAAAATAAGCCACAAAGAAAGGGAAGTGGAAAGCAAAAACCAACTTAATACATAACACAGCGGCCGATCAGAGTGGCCAATGACCCCAATGGAAAACTGAGACAATCTGATGATGGTACTTATAATAATGGCAAAGCAAATGCTCGCATAAACAGCAATTAAGCTTAAACGCAAAGTGCGTAACAACTGGACGAGCGATAGAGACAGCGCCCCAATGGAAACAATATGGTCAAAAGCAAGACATTGACCCAGGTCTTCAGCCGAGACAGCAACCAACCATTGGTAGCAGCATACATTGTATATGGGGGAAACACAAAAGCAACATCTCTCATTACCATACCAAAAGATACGCCAGAGACCGCAGAAACTTGTTGCTGTGCTGCGCAGCATGTTGACAAAGTGAAGGCCAAGGTCAGATTGGCAACATGTTGCCAGGTCGAGTTATGAAAACTATAGACTATATGCGTTTATTTCATTTTATATTTTATTATAGTTTTAAAATAATTTTATAACCAACAACTCTTACATCCTCAAACCAGTTTTCCTGATCTATATTTTATAGCTCATGCCAACTAGTTGCATAGCCACAGGCAAAATCTTCATATCCTGCCTCCAAGAGATACGCTTGGGTCAAGAGTGGCAATTCGTGATGTTTCTGACAGCGAAGGAAAAATAAAAAAAAATAACAACAAACCAGCAACACATACGTGTTAATGGCTATGAGGAAAGAGACCGAATGCCGGAAAAACTTTGGCTAAGACCAAAAACCACTTAAAAAAGGTCAGCCAAGGAGTCACCATACCGACACGCAGCTGGAATGGTAGAGATACTCCAACCAAGAGGAACTTGGTCTGGAGAAGAAAGAATCTGCTCTTCAAGTTCTTAAGATTCTCTACTTTTTAGTAGACTGGCTCCCATTTTATGACTCTCTTCAAACTAATAATCATGACTTGTTAATCTTTACGCTGCTCTTCGCACTCAGTAATCGTTATATTATTTTTATCCACAGGGTACTACTTTATAAAAGGGTATGGTTGACTGTTTTTCAACTCTTAAAAATAATATATTAATTTTAAAAAATTGCCCCTTTTTCTCCTTGTATTATAAGAGTACTTAAATCTTCCTAATAGTTCCTTTCCTATTTTTTCCATCATACTTTTCAAGTTCTAAGCTTGCATTTAACGGTGGATGATTGTCGGTTTTTTGTGGTTGGCTGGTTGACTGGTTGTTTGGGTGCTAGGTTGTTAGCTTGATGGGTTGTTACTACCAACTATACTTTAGTAGTTTGCTGCTGGCTTTTTCACGCATTATCGTCATTATCATCGTCATTGCGAGAGATGATTACCCGAATGCCGGCAACTATTATGGATGATGTAAGTGCAAAAAGCCATTGAACGCTTATTATATTTTTCTTTCTTTCGCCTCTCATCGCATTTATTTTTTTAGTTTACTTAACTTTTCTTAACCAATATAAACGAGGAGCAATAAACTCGAAACAGACTGCGGCTAGACGACCTGAGAACCTTTCAGTTTGGTTTTTTGCCCTTTTCCTATCTTAAATGTTAAATTCAGCTAAGCAGCTTAGGACCATTTTGGGCCAAGGGATGGAAAAGTTTGTGGTTATCCTTGAACGAAAACACTTTCATTGACTTCTCGTTGTCGCTGCTGCTGCTGGTGCTGGTGCTACTGATGCTTTTGCTGCCAAAAAGGCTAATGTGGGTGGAAGGAAAGGACACATCATTTTCCCCAGCTCTGGTCCTTCCTCTTAGCTGAGATTTCGCCTCCCACTTTGCCACTTTTCATCTGCAGTTAGTGGCTTGGAAGTTACTTGGCTGCATTTTCTGTTTAGCTGCGTTTAGCTTACCAAGTATTTTTGGCACTTAACCAAGGTTAAGTAAGACTTTCCCCCACAGTCGCTGTCACTCGACAACAACCGAACAGAATCCCCAGAAAAAGAAGTGATAGAGAGTGTGGGAAAAAGGACATCACTGAGTATTGAGGAGGTTTCTTTAATTTCAATTCAAGGACATGTAGTGCAAGTCCTTAAAGTTGATCAACCAAATAGTGTTGAAAGAAAGAAAGAGATGTGTATCTCAAAACAAAGTCATTCTGCAAAGTGCGTAAACAAAACGCAAACTGATGAAAATTGAAATTGAAAACGCTACGCATGCGCCGCTTTTCCAACCACACTTGACTGGGGCTTTCCATGGAAATCCGCCTGTAGTTTTTCCTCTTTTTCCGTTGATTTTCTGTCGCTCGCCTTTCAAACCTATCGAATATCAAAGACCAGCACAAAGAGATATATGGCCGAGAAGGCCAAACAGAGACGCCACTACAAATTGGAAGCCATGGAGCAGATGGAAATCGCAATTGGAAACGTGAGGTTGAGATGTTGCATCTCACATCTGGGCACCTTCACTGCCCACCCACCCCACTGCAGCCCCTTCCTTTCTCCGGCTCAACACCACCCATTCTTGCATCTTTTCTGTTCAGTGAGCAGCGAAGATGAAATTGAATCTGGTCCGGGTGGCAGAGGCAATAAAAGTGGGCGAGTGACCAGAGAGATGCGTCACAAGTCGGTCGACAGCCAGCGCAAACATAAGTTATGGAGCCATGGATTTGGATATCCTGAAGCCTTGGATCATCATCTTGAGCACATGGAGCCTGTTGCAATTGAACTTCGAGGATTGTCTGGCCGTTCCTGGCGGCGGCAGCAGCGGAGAGAGGTGAGCTTCAAGTTAGCTCTTCAATAGATTCATAATTTTATGAAATTTTAAATCCTCTTTACAGAGTCCACATACGCCTCCACATGCCGGAGGTAGTACGCCAGCACACACACTTCCACAACGTTTACAAGTATCCTCGGAAAATGCCCATTCATCCAGCTCCTGCGCCGCCACCCACAACGATAGCATCGCTCTATCCGAAGCTTCCGGGGAAACCTCATGTTCAACTATTGGGCTATACAACGGCAGTGGGCGGCTCGGGACCGATGTCGCCGAATTTAATGCAGCTAATGGCTACGGCAGCCACGCCCACACTAATGCCAACGCCCACAAGTTTGGCGCCAAACTATGGGCCCGCATTATTCGATAATTATAACCAGGCCGTGTCCTCTCTATCGAGTGCTACAACAACCACAACGACAGCTCGGCCTCCCCAGCTCTTCAAATCCGCCTCCAGCCAGAAACAGCAACAATTGTTGGAACAAATTTTCGCACCTCATCAATCAGATGAAGAGGATAATTCCACGGAAGATAATCAGTTGGAAAATAACTCATTGTTGAACCAAAATTTCCTGGAAGCCTTGCAGAGGGAGTATCTCTCGAAATTCGGAGGACGACGCAAGCGGAAGAAGTCGGGTTCCAAAAAATACAAAATACCCAGCAAGGATTATTCAAATCGCTATCAGAGCAAGCCCACTTATTACCAGGACGAGGATCTATCTGAAAACTTTGACGATTACCAGGATGAACCTCTCGGTGAAGATTACGAGGAAGTGATGATGATGAGCACTCCACAAAAATATGGCGGGTACTACCCCACTGGATCGGATGAAGTGGATCAGGACAATGCCCAGGGCTATGATAACGCGGTGGCTTTCAGTGGCCAGGATAATAGCATTTCCCCAACGATACCCACAATGGAAGAGTTTTTAGAGGATGTGAATAGTCCAGGATCTGGATTTAGTGGCGTAGGAAGCTATGATCCATATGGGAATTCCAATGGCTTTATGTCCCAATCTTGGCATCCATCACCAACCACTGCTACGGGCAATAGTTGGTCCAGACCTACGACTGCTCATCCATTTCCCACTTCCTCAAAAGGACCCAACAAAGCGAGGCCTGTCAGATCCCGAGGACGAACAAAGATACGATACGTAAAGCTAATCACTCGAAAGAAACGTAAAAATCACATTAGAACGAAACGATATCGAACTTAAGCCTAACATTCAACCAAATCCTTTACTCGACTTCTATTTAGGTGATTATTTATATTTAAATGTGAAAATATTTTAGAAATAAAAGTTGATTTCCTTACCAAACCAAATAATTAACAAAATGCCAAAAAGGGCCTTACCTGAAAAGACAGAAATAACAAAATATTATTAACAATTTGAAAGACTGCTATGTAGCTTTTCCTTAACTAAAATATACACCCATTAGATGAGTACACAAACCATAATAGAACAGATCTTAGGAATGGGGGTTTTCAGGGAACTACCCCATAAAAGGAAACCCGAAACCTCCCAACTTCTCCCCCACGAAGCCAACAAATAAAATGTCCAATTAAATGGTCGGCTGTGAGGGGAATAAGGACTAGCTCGCCTAGCTCGGCAAATAATAAGTACAAATGCTAATAAAATTCAATTAAAGGCCACAAAATTACAATAAAAGAGGCCCGGCCCTGAAAGGAAAACTAACGCTGCCGAGAAGCAGTAGAAATGTAATAGAAAGGTCGATGTTCAGGACGCAGGCCATGAAAAGCCAAAATTAACGACTCATTTGGGCAAGTTGAAGCCATAAAATACAGAAATTGGTTTAAATGAAACAAGTCTTATGGATATGTTGCATATTAGAAGAAATTTCTGATGAAATATTCAAAAATAAATGTAAACAATAAACAATAAATATTCTTAAATATTCAAAATCCAAAGAAAAGGATAAGAACAAATATCAACAGACTGACTCTATTCATCTCTAGCTCACATTCTTAATTTTCTGATGGTCATATTTTTATTTCATTTGGGCCATAAAAATTCGAGGAATGACAGGAATGAACAAAAGTGTAATGTGTAAAGGCATTTGCAGGATACTCCCAGGAGCAAAGAAATTAAAAGCGTGTAAAGATTTTCATTTGCTTGTCCCACATCACGGAGGGCAGTGGAGGGCGGACGAGTGGGTTGAGAAAAGTCCAAGATGGAGGAAAGGACATTTTTTGGAAAGGACAGGCTAGCGAAGCACATAAAGTGTTGATGTGCCAACCATATGACATTTATTGTTTAGCCAACGACAGCGAATGTCTTTCCATGGAATGGAATCCGGGGCACGAATACGACCCCAGATGAGGAGCAGGAGCCTTGGCATAGAGGCGCCATGTTTATGACCCCCAACAGATGGCACTGGCAACGGGAGAGGAGAAAGGAGTCTTGGCAAGGCAACAAGTGAACCAGGACGAAGGAGGCGGGGGGACGAAAGATTTATGGGGCGTGGGTCTGATGGGGGGCTGATGTCATAATATATAAATGTATCTGCGATTAAAGTCGTTTGAGTTGAGCCTGCGCAATGATCGATGGTTTTGTTATATGGTCATGAATAAATCGTTGGCAAAGGTCATGAGCCAATATGTTTTTAAAGGATTTAAACTCCACTGCCCTAAACGCAGTAGTTTCCTAAAGATATCCTTGAAAAACGATTATAAATTAATAATTGAAAACATAAATTTTCCACCCAAATTGGCTTCACATAAATCGCAAACAATAAACGCGTTTTTATGATGACTGTATTTTTTGCAAACATTTTTTTTATTTCGCCATTGACGTAATTGATTTTCTCGAAATAATGGACAACAGAGCCATCAGAATGACCAATATTCCACACCATATCCGATTCGTTTGGCTGAAATGACAAGTTTATCTGCCAACAAACACACCCATGCAAACAGCAGCAGGAGTAAACGTTCCATTTCCCTTTTTTTTTTTTTTTGTGTTTTTGTTTTTAATGAAAGTGACATAAAATTGCCACAACACATACAGAAAGGAAATGCTCATATCTGGTCTGGAAAACTCTTCTCATTCCCTTTAGAGACTGAAATTTCCATCAGCTTTATATGCCTAATAAAAGTTTTATATTTCCAAGGATAAATTAATTTTCCAATTCAGCTGAGAAAACAATCCTAAAGAAAAGTATGGGAGTTCGGGCCACACACTCATACACATCATTAGATGAAAGGAAAACCATGTGTCATGGCTGGGGGGGTAAACTCTTCTGGCTTGGCTAATTTTGAGACAAATGACTGGAAATCTTCTCGCCAAACAATTCATTAATTTAATTAATTTGTGGCAATTAAATATGGCTGCACAACCGACATGCAGGAGGGTGCAGATAGTTTTGCCCCGTCATCATCCACTCAATGGGACAGCCATTTGTTAGATATAAGCAAACACAAACATCAGACACGCATATATGTACATGTATGTATATAGAAGTATTTCTTTCGCATGTTCATCAATTCCCAGGAGAATCTATGGGGCGAACTTTAGCACTTTTCTCCATTTGCTGGGTGTGGTCGAGGGACTGTGTGGGTTTAACCCACAGGAGCAGGATTAAATGGGTTAAGTGTCGGCGATAAACACATTCGCATGGACGGGGGACAAAAAGGTGGAAAAGCAGTCAACACCCACTAAAGCGAACAGAAAAATATAGTCATTCCACAACAATTTATTCTCACATTGCCATTTTGAAGAACATGGGTGTTATTTTTTCAGAAATTAAGTAACTTTCTACGTCTACTCTTTTTTAAACTTTTATATAAGAGTCTTTATTATAAATTCTACCTACTCCAGTATAGTAGATCCTACCATAACCCACTCATAGCTCATCCATACATCATTTGCATGAAAAGCACAACCATTCATCCTCACACCCTTTCCCTCCTTTCGTTTGCCGATGCAATCGTGTAATCATACGACCAACCACTGGACAGTCAAGCAATTTAATTAAAATGTGAAAAAAACGAGAAGCAAAATACTCGAGGGCATTACGACGAATGTATTACAAAATGCTAATTAAATGCCCGAGAAAATTGGGCCAAGCCTCTCCTCGTAATGGAAACTAAACTAATCACGCCCCAAAGAGCTAAAAACCCGGGGAGGAGGAGGGACAACACATGGGGCAATTCCATTGAGGATTGTGAATTGTAAAAATGGAAATTACAAATTCCTTTCGCTTATTTGTGACAATTAAGTGCAAATTACACATTCTGTGTCACACTTGCGCGGTCAAACACACCCACGCATATATATATACACTGGACAACAAAAATATGGTCTACAAAATCAATTAGTGATTATTAAGGTTGAGATAGGACTACAAATTTATAGAAAAATTATTTTTAAAGATTTTCCTTAAAGCCACAAACATTAAAGTCACAGTTTCATGATAACAATTAAAATGAACGAGTTCTGTGTGGTTTTGTCATTGGGGGACCTCGGAACAGATGGAGAACTACTTTATGCCACTGCATTGCCGCAGATGCAACGCATATGATGATAATGATGATGATGCCGCCGCTACTTGCAACGCCAGCTTGGCCGGAAAAATATAAATAAATGTGAGTGTGTCTCTGTGCGATGCAGTGACAGTTGCAACAACAGTTTGTGGATTATGATTATCGTTCGCAGAATGCCATATCACATAAGCTTCCTACTTCTGCTTGCCCTCCGCCCTCCTCCCGACACTGCCCCATTAAGGGGTTATATACAGTTGTACCGCGCAAAAATATGGATTTTTATCGATTTTTTTTTGACACCATAGAAAATATTTATGAAAAATGTTTTACCGACATTGTTTAGTTCATGTTTCTGGGTACTTAATTAAATTTTTTCATAAAAAAATATTACATAACAAAAATGTTATAGCCGAATTCCCGGATCGTCTTTTTTCGATGGTGTCTTGCGGTGGACATGATTTCTCGAAAACGGTTCATCCGAAATCCAAAATTCAAAAAAGTTTAGTTAGTATATTGTATTGTCTAGTCCGTGAACGAGGGATTTTTAAAAATTTTGATTAAAAAAAAAATGGCGACGTTTTAAAAAAAAAATGTACTTTTTCAACGTATAAGATTTTCGTTTTTTGTGCTTTAAAAAAGAAGTTTTCAAAAAAATTGAAAATCCCTCGTTCACGGACTAGCTAATATCATAATAAATAAGTGGTCAAAATTTGGTGTTGATCGGATTAGTAGTTTTTTAGTAATCGTGTCCACCGCAAAGGTAATTTCCCAAAAACAAGATTCTGAGGTAATCGCGTTTAAAGTTTCAAGTTTGTTCAGGATTAATATGCAGATAGTGCGCTATAAATAGCTACAGCTTCGGTTCTAATGCTCCGATCGTTATGAATTTTTGTGAGAGTATTCCCAATAAAATATACTTAAAGAATATGCAATAAAAAAAAAATCGATTTTTTCATATATCACAACTGTATATAACCCCTTAAGAGTCATAGATCCCTCATGGTCCATCATATCTGGGCTCTCTCGGTCCGGGGCAGCTGTGATTACAACTTTTCTGTTTATGTTTTGCAATTGTGCTGCTCCATATTTTAGTGGGCATGGGTGTGTGTGAGCTTCTGGAATGAGTTTTGTGTCGGTTTTTGACAGTTATGATGGAGAATTGTGTGTGTACTTTCTGGAATATATTTGTGTGTGTGCGAGTGTGTGGCACATGCCATGGGGCAAGGCATTTTAAGTGTGACGCACACAAAACTGGTTGCAATCTCTAAAATTGAAATTCAGTCAGGCATGAGCTCACAAGAATTTCCTAAATAGATTGACAGTCCTGGAAGGACAATGCATTCGTACAAAGGTACAACCCAGCATACTAATAAATAAACATTTTAAGATTTCTAGAGTTTGCCAAAGGGGACGTCCTTTTAAAAGCATATCCTTTATTTCGTTTTTATCAATTTTCCAAATTGTTCTGCATTCGATACATTGTTCAGACACTCTGGCTCTGTCGATACATTTCAACATATCATAAATGCTTGACAACGCTTGACCTCTGACATTTTGAGTAACACGAACCCAACTCAACCCGATGGCCCGCCCGGCCATTGAAAAGAACCTTGAAGTATTGTTTACGCAAAAGGAAAAACTGAAATAGTTCGCCTGCCAGTGTGTTGAGGTTAAAGTTTTCAAACACGAAAAAATAGTGAAAACAAATGCAAG